CTGCCGGTACCCAGTTCAGCGCCTTGTGCAAGAGCAATACAGGCTTAGATAGCACCGTTGCCATTTCACAGGTGGAAAAAGACAACAGTTATGGGAAGTTAGGGCCAAACGGAGGTGAAATTCATCTCTGTGTCACATCCTATATGCTACTGCAGTCTTACTGAGGCTATGCAATAGACTTTCCAGAGGTACATAGGTACCTCTAAGCACAGGGGAATGTCCAGCAGGATGTTGGGAAGGAGCTGCACAGATCAGGTACACAAATCTCATTGTTTTACATTATAATTAAGGTCCTTGACTTTGATTTTAAAGGACCTGAACTCAGCTGTCACACATTTGGGCCCATTGGAAAATTCTCCCAGGGTGCTGCTAAAACACATAATTGTCTACCTTTGGCAATCTGGTCCCTGCTGGCTTCTTCTAATTTCCTTGTATCCATGCACATAGCATGATGTGGAGAGGTCAAAAGCACCAGCACCCTCTGAAAACCTCCCTGGCTGTTTGGGGTGATCACTGCCTTGAAAAACAGGGGCATTTCCATTCAGGTATGTGGTTTAGGCTCCTGACCCTGGGAATCTCAGCGGTCGCTTCCCTGGAGTATTGCAAAAATAAACCGATTATTTAAGAGCAATTTTCTCCTGCAGGCGTTCATAGCACAGTGTTGGTCTTCAGCATTAACTTCTGTCTTAGAGATGTGCAGACAGCTGAACATACAGCAGCCATGCAGGGTACAGTGAGCCCTCTTCTCCTAGGGCAGGGAAGCTTTAGAAAAACATATAGAAAGTATTTAGTTGGGGGAAGGTGGGGAGGAAAAGGCACAGGAAAAGCTGCCTGGTCAACAAATGCTGACAAAGCAACCCCATGGCTGAGATTCACAGGTAACACTGAACTGCCCGGTGCTGCTTTGTGTAGCCCAGCAGAGTTTGAGTGATCATACAGTGGTTAATGCTGTAGGGAAGGGGCAATTCCAGCTTACGTGAAGCCAGCACAATACTCCATTCACTGCGGTTGGATGTCTCCCGCCTGGTGCTTCTCACGTGCAGCCCGCGCTGAGCACTGTGTGCGGGGATGCCGGGGGGGGAACTGACATGCAGGAGCCTCCTTCTGCTGAGTTTCCTTGTATCGGGGGGCTCAAGAGAAATCTGGGACCATTGCAAGGAATTGGTATCGCAGGAGAGAGAACGGCACTGCAGCCCACAGGTGTCTGTGAAGGAAGCTTAAAAAAAGTCCACATGTATAAAAACACTTTAAAAAAAAGGCATGTGGCTGGTTTACTTTTTCTCCATATCTGAACTATCAACGAGGAGGCAGATAAGCTCTCTCGGAGGTGGAGGAAGATGAGAGCTGGGAGTTTGGTTCCTACCCACTTCTGATGAGGATTATGTTGGCAATTATCAGCCCCATCGTTTGGTATTTGGGAAGAAGAAATAGGAAGCTGAACAGCAATAGTGGGCTGCTCCTGCATGAACTATCCTGGCAAAATGCCTTTTAATTTCATGTGAGCTGCGCCTGTGAGAAGACGGAAGGATCAAGCCATCATCAAGGAAGATTAGGATTTGGAGCCAGGTTTTGGAAATTGTCTCTTATCTCAGTAATGTATCAGACACCTTAGGTGAAATTCAGATCCTACTGAATAAGCATTTTGGGTTTTGAGTTTAGCAGGGCCAGGATTTCACCCCTAATTTCAAATATTCCCAAACACTGCTGTGCCTGCAGTTGGAGCTAGTCACCAATGTTACATCCTAGAATTGTATCATCTCATTTATATTAGTCTTGTACGACCTGATTCTGCTCCCCCTGTAACTTGATGGGAGTTCAGATGCTGAGTTCAAGATGATGGCACTGTCCCTCCTTTACCGTGCTGCTTTACAGAACACCGATATTTTAAAAGTGAATCTTCTTAATTTATGTTATTCCTGATAATTTTACAGTGCAGACTTGGTTTCATTTACATCAGAAATAGGATCCATTTTCCCTGCCCTGGAAGGAAGACACTCTCAAGGGCTTACTGATATTTGTGTGTTTGACTTTAAGGCAGAAGTTTGTTCCTAATTAATTGAATAAGTGCTTTAATCCCTGGCCTGAGGGCTTCCCATAGAGCATTAGCTGTATTAAGAAGGAAATGGAGTGTAATCCCTTTAATATAAGCACAGGAGAACACGAGAGTTTCACATTTCTGGAAATAATTTCTTTCCTTGTTGCATCATTTATTCTAATATTAATTTGCATAAAATACCGCGGGGACAAAGGGCTTCTCCTTCTGCCTGACCCCAGTGCTGAGCTGTTAGCAGCACACGACCCTTGCCAGAGCGTTAGCATCCTCTGGCTCCAGTCATACACCGGTGAGTAACAGGGTGCAAAGAGAATAACTCTAGAAATTCAGCTCATTCCGACGGTGCCTGTGAACCCAGGTCCGTGACCAGCTCTCCTCTGTGGAGGATCCTGGAGCCAAGATGTCATCTTTCTGACTCATGCGTCATCACCAGCATTTACTACTATTTGCATTCTGTAGTGCCAGAGAATCTCATTTCTGAACCGATAGCCAGGCTCATGTGTAACTACAGAAATTGGACTCTTGGATGAGATTCAGCTGACCAAACTCAAGCTTTCTAGGAAAGCAGTTTATTTCATCCCCAAGTACGTATCTACGTTGATCACATGAATTGGGCTAAACGAGCCAGGAAACCAGGAAGGATCAGCTCAAAGGGAGATGTCCTCTTTGTGGACATCTAAAATGAGGTGAGATTAGTCTTGGATGAGGTGGATCCAAACCTGGTTAATGTTTGACATTTTTTAAAGAGTAAATACTCTTTACTGGTTTGCCCTTCCTGTCCATTCATGGGACAGAAGACTAAATCTGAGCATCCCCTGCTGTCTTATGTTGCAGGTTGTCAGAGGAAGGGGGCTGCAACATCTGGGTGGGACAGTTCAGGTGTACTCGGCCACGCTCCAAGACCAAGCGGAGATCCCTGTCTGCCTTATTTCTGCAATGTTTCCCAGCCCTCCATGCACTAAGGTAAGGATGATGTTTTCTTCCACTCCTCACAACGCATCCACAAAGTGGGTCCTTTCTTCCCCTGTTTCCCCATCTTTGGCTCCCATCTTTATCTTTAGCAGGAGCTGGGGAGGCTTTGTCCCTCTCCTGGCCATATGTCCCCAGCATGGCTGGCTGCAGCTGAAAGAGCAGGTAGCAGCTCCCCAGCTATGACTGTGGGGTGGCTTCTCCTCCAAGAAGCCCTCAACCCAGACCTTCATGGGGAAACCCCTCCCACCAAGGCCTCCAGGGTTCTGGAGCACGGGTGTCTCACAAAGGGACAGAGGTTTCCCTTGTCCCTGGAAACACTGTGGCCACGCAGACACTGGTGGATCCCATTGCACACGTACTGTATCCCAGGAGGGGACACCCGTGTTTGCCCCCCAGCTGGCTCTGGGGCTGGTAGTGGTGGGGTGCTGCCATCTCTTCTCTGCTGGGTCCCACCAAGCTGCATCCCCTGAGGTGTCCGACTCCGTACGTGCTGGTTGCTGGGCTGGACGGGTATATTTTGCATTGCTGAAGTTGGATGAAGTCAGTCATACTCTAACTGCCGATTTGGGTGCACAGGGGTCCTACAGCCCCAGCTGAATCCCCTTCCTCCTGCCAGTACCCAACTCCAGGTCTCTAGATCCCTTGTCCCTTGGGGCAGTGTGGAGGAGAGGATCTGGTTTGCTGTTTGTTAACTGAGTGACTTCTTCTGGTCCAGGTTCCTGGCTCACCATGGTGGACACAATGAGGAAAACAGCACACTCGAAGGTGAAGTACACACGGGACTCATCCTCACCGGTGTTTGAGTAATGGGTTTGCAGTGTCTGCCAGGCTGGAAAGATAATAGGAGCTGGTGACAACAAGCTCCTGGCTCCTAGCCAAAGGCAGCCACTGGTCTGGGAAGCCCAGAGGGGGAAAAGAGTGAAATGTTAGAAAAAAGGAACGATAATATAAAATATATTCTTGCCCATAATGGGTGACGTTGTTGGCAAGGCACGAGAAGCCATCCTTAAGGTGCTGTGTGCTGGTGCAGTTATTGGTTCCTTTTTATCACACGAGGCACGGGAGCGCAGACCCGTGCCTTGGCTGGCCAAGCCACCCCTGCATGGTAGACGTGTTCGTGTAGCAGTGGAGATCGCAGTAACACCTTCAGTTACTGCACAAGAGCTCATCTCCCCCAGCCCTCTGCCATGCATTGACAAGTTAGCACATTTAATGCTTTAGCATAAAAACAGCTCTCTTGGGTCAGCCTGAAGGCTCCTCTCACATGGTTTCCTGGCTCCAGCAGTGCCCATGGTGGATGCCGAGGGAGGAGCACAGGAAACAAGACATGCACATAGTCCTTCTTCCCTAAAATCCTCTCCGCATCTCCATCAGTTTGCACTGCCGTGATTTTCAGTGTTAGGGCAGGTGTCACTGGCTTAATACACCTTGGCAGAGTTTTCCTCCATAATTTTTCCGATCGCTTTGCAGAATGAGTATTGATATTAGCCAGCACTTAGCTTTAAATATGTGATAAGCACATGGGAAATATTACTGAAATAGGAGACGGAAGCACATGCTGATTTCACCTGAGTGACACTGGACCTCAGCAGCTGATCAAAGTATTTAGGCAGCTTTATATTAGTGCTCTGCCCAGGCACATCTGAGCAGTCAGAGGAGGCTTGAGAAAGGCAGGAGGAAGGTGTTTGTTGCAAGGGACCACCTGGGACAAGGAGAGCCCCAGAAACCATTGCCAAAAGAGTGTAGGTTCTTCCTGGCCACCCTGCTCAGGGCTCGACTGAGCAAGGGGTTGCCCCTCTTGGACTGGACCCAGGTGGCCTGGGGGACAGTGGCTGCATCCAGAAGAGGAGCTCATCCTCTCCTGAGCTACGAGGGAGCATTTTGGGTTTGTATCACCACTTTTGCAGGCTTCCCCCAAGTCCTAGCAGCTCCTTGTGTTTGCCTCCTCTCATTTCAGCTGCCTGTGTCACCGGGCATGTACAGGAGTTTGTACAGGAGAGACTACCGGTGGTGCAAGGAGTACAAGCCACCCAGTGAGGAGGACGTGCAAGTACCGTGGGATTTTCCTTGCTTGGCTCTTTAGCCTGTGGTGCCAGTTCCCCTCTCGTGGCTACAGCACAGCTGGGGACGGGGGGTGTGCTGAGGGGGCAGGAGACGTGGGTGCCGTCTGCACTGGCAGGGTCTGCTTTGGTCCCCACCGTTGTGACCCACCAGCAGGTCACATCACGCCCAAATGCCCTTGGCTTGTGTCCCCATCCCTTCTGCGGGAAATCCCCCTCGTGCCCTCCGGTAAAGCTGTTTGGGGCGGGCGATGCTAATTACACTCATTA